TCCTGTCTATCTTTCCTTTGACGTACTCTGATGATTGTATGTGAGCACTTTTCTGACACCATAAAACATTTCAGGCTCATCCTTTATATATCATGCTCTAATCCTGTAATTGATCATTTTTTCCGAGGAGCCATTATTGGAAATGGTATTAGAAACTATGGCCTGGGTGCTAAGTGTGCTAGTTGCAACTAGAGTATTGTTGTTTCCAGTGAGGTAGCAAAGAGAAATATGTGTATGTTAACCTATGTGAACATGTATATCTATAAATAGTTCTATATGTAACCACTTATATCTCTATATTAAGCTACACATGAATTCATACTGATGTGTACAACTCTAATTCCTTATCACATTAATCATTCTCGCTTCCTCCACTTTACCAGCAAGAAATTTGGCCATTCATTTACTTAATTCTTCAATTCCACTATACATCATATACATGGTTTTAGAATGGTTAGTATGTGCCCTTATGGGAAACAACTATATTAACTAGAGTACAGTGCTTGTGGATCCTTCGTTTTTGCTTTAGTCTTACAGATTCTCATTTCCAGCATTACCTAGGTTAGCACTATATTCTCCTTTGTGAGGTGGTTTCACATTTGCAGTACATTTATCATAGATTGTTTCGTCACATTCTGCATTCTATGCTGAGATCCCTTTACTTCTTAGATTATTATTTAAAACTTTGCATACATTGTTTATACTTTGTGCTTTAAAGTTATATGGGTTTTGACAAAGTTCTTTAAAACAAAATTTTTATTGATTTTTTTTAGAGTAGGGGTGTCGAACTCAATCAGAGAAGGGGCCAAAATCTAAAATCCAGCCTAAATCGTGGGCCGAATGGTTTACTGAACAGTCATAAACTGTCATTGTGATGGAAATGCAGCGGAGTGCAGTGATGACAGCGCGGTGCGGGCCACATTGCAAGGCCTGGCGGGACGGATTTGGCCCGCGGGCCTTGTGTTTGACACGTGTTTTAGAGAGAGAGAGGGAGAGAGAGAAACATCAATTGGCTGTCTTCTGCAGGCCCCCTACTGGGGATCAAGCTGGCAACCTGAGCACATGCCCAGACTAAGAATCGAACCAGCAACATTTTGGTATACAGGACAATTCTCAACCAACTGAGCCACACTGACCAGAGCTACAAACTTTTAATATATTTGGCATTACAGTATCATATAGAATAGTTTCACTGCTCTAAAAAATTTGTGCCTCATCTATTTAATTCCCCCCACGCCACTAATCTTTTTACTGACTATACAGTATTGCCTTTTCCAGAACAATACATTTTATATTACTTTTTAACTTATTACTTTTCAAGAGAGAGAGGGGAAGAAAGAAACCTCACTTTGTTGTTCTACTCATTCATGTATTCACTGTTTCTTTTTTTGTTGTTAATATTTTTTCCTTTGATTTTTTTTTTTTTAAAGAGTTGAAGGGAGGAAGACAGAGAGGGAGACAGATGGAGAGAGGGGGGGAGAGAGAGAGAGAAACATCAATTTGAGAGAGAGATATCAATTGGTTGCCTTCCATATGTGCCCTAATCGGGGCCAGAGGTCAAACCTGCAAACCAGGTATATGCCCTTGACTAGGAATCAAACCCGAGACCCTTGGGTGCAAGGCCAAAGGTCTAATCACTTGGCCACACCAGCGAGGGCCACTGGCTATTTCTTGTATGTGTGTGTCCTGACTGGGGATCAAACCCACAACCTTGGTATATCAGGATGATGTTCTAACCAACTGATATAGCTGGCAAGGCCCAGAATATTAAATTTTCAAAAGTATTTTTTAATTATTTTAATGAATACAGCATTTTTTTAAGTAGTGGGAGATACAGGTATTAGATAACTAATTAACACTTGGGGACTTTTCTTTTGTATTGAGGTAAAATTCACATAACAAACTTCTTAATATTAACTATTTGGAATATACAGTTTAGAGGCTTTTAGTTCATTCACAATCTTGTGCAACCACTACCACCATCTAATTGCAAATCATTTTCATCACTACTAAAAGAAACCCTAGCAATCCCTAGGCTGATTTTTATTCCTATGGATTTACCTATTCTGAACATTTCACTTAAATGGGGAGACGTAACATATGGCCTTTGTTTCTGGCTTTTTTTACTTAATATTTTTAAGGTTCCTCCATGTTGTAGCATGTTTCAGTACTTAATTTCTTTCTTATGGGTGAATAATAACCCATTATATAGTTAAAGCACATTTTGTTCGTGTATACATTCTTTTTTAAAAAATATATTTTGTTGATTTTTTTTACAGAGAGGAAGGGAGAGAGATAGAGAGCTAGAAACGTCGAAGAGAGAGAAACACCGACCAATTGCCTCCTGCACACCCCCTACCGGGGATGTGCCCGCAACCAACGTATGTGCCCCTGACCGGAATCAAACCTGGGACCTTTCAGTCCACAGACTGATGCTCTACCGCTGAGTCAAACCGGTTTCTGCTGTGTATACATTCTTTAGTTGATGGACATTTGAATTGTTTTCACTTTTTGGTATTACGAATGCTGCTGCTGTGAACATTCACGTAACAGTTTTTTAAAAAATATGTTTTTTTATTGATTTCAGAGAGAAGAAGAGAGAGAGAGAGCAGGATAGAAACACTAATGATTAGAGAAAATCATTAATTGGCTGTCTTCTGCATACCCCCCACTGGGGATCGAGCCTGAAACTGGGCATGTGCCCTGACCTGAACTGAACTATCATTTGATTGGTTGATGTTCAACCACTGAGCCACCCTCATGGGCTCATGTATCAGTTTTTGTTGAACATATGTTTTAAAATGCTTTTGTATTTTCTTTTTTAAAAACCCTCACCAAGGATATTTTTTCACTGATTTTTTTACCAATAGAGAGAGGGAAAGACAGAGAGAAACATCAATGTGAGAAACATGTGCAGAAGGCAACAATTATTGTAGTTGCCTCCTGCACATGTCCTGACCAGGGCCAGGAACCTGCAATTAAGTTACGTGCCCTTCACTGAATTGAACCCAGGACCCTTTAGTCCGAAGGTCAATGCTCTATCCACTAAGTCAAACCAACTAGGGTATGAATATATTTTCTTTTTGAAAAGTTTTATCTTTCCCAGTGGCTTATTTGGGGTGAAATGCTAATAGAAGGGTACTTTGTCTTGGTATAATAATCATCAATAAATACTGAAATCACATAATTTTCCTGTTGTCATTATGGAGTAAAGGATTTTGATCCAGATGGGGTAATAGTAGGTAGCCTTCCCTTAGAATTCTGTTGGAGAAATATCTTGAATTACATTGTGTTCCATTGTGTTCTACTCTCCTTTTGAGAGTAGCAAGTAGTCTTTCATTGTGAAGTTGGATTATACCATTTGCTTGTGGTCTTAATGAATATCTGAGTATCTGGATTATGTTTAGCATTATGTATTCAGAGGGATAGTAGGCAGGATTCCCATTCTGTAATCTATTTGGCATCATTGATGTTACAAGGGCTTTATTCTTACCACATTCCCTCTGAGATTTGGACTATAATAGAGTAGCATTAAATATTTGTGTTTTCTTATTTTGGCACCCAACCCTGAAGCTTTGTTTTGCAGTTGACACCTTTGCCTCGATAGATTCCTTTTCGAATTGCAAAAGTTTTCTTATTTTGCAAGGGTAACCTGACCCAATCCATTGAAACCTACTGTTTTTCAGACTTCTTGAAAGCAAGGAATAGTCTTTGCTATCTTTATAGCTTATTTCTAAGTGACTTTGGGATTCCCTGGAGGTAACGGAAAATATATAAGTTATATATTAACCACCATCAAACTATCCCAAGGAACTTCACTGTAGGCAAGCCCTTTAAAAAGGTTTATGTAATGAACACTGGGCCGGAACCAAGATGATCTCTATTACTAAACAAATAGTTTGTACCTGTTTGTTTGGTTGGTTTTTGTACTTCTTTTTATAAAAAGATAATATTGACTCTAATTTATAAGAATGTTGTGATGGGAAATCTCTTCTAGTAAGGTACTTCTTTTTTTTTAAGACAGGCATTTGGGAAGAGATGTATTATGAAAATTCTTGTTAGTGCTTTTTTTTCTTTATTTTAGTAATGTAACTGAATCTCCTCTCAAAATAAAAGCCTCTGTCAAGTACAGTATGTGTATTTATATTTTCAGTGCTCTTCAATTTTCCGTATAGTTACAGATTTCTACATGGTACATTTTACTTCTGAATGAAGGACTTTTTTTTAACATTTAATGTGGAACAGGTTTGCTGGTGATAAATCCTTTCAGCTTTTGTATATCTGAAGAAGTCTTTAATTTGTCTTGATTAATTTCTTTTACCAGGTCATTAGTCTTACTATAAAAAACGTGAAATAGCCAAAACCGGTTTGGCTCAATGGATAGAGCGTCGGCTTGGGGACTGAAGGGTCCCGGGTTCGATTCCAGTCAAGGGCATGTACCTTGGTTGCGGGCAAATCCCCAGTAGGGGGTGTGTAAGAGGCAGCTGATCGATGACTCTCTCTCATCGATGTTTCTAACTCTCTACCTGTCTCCCTTCCTCTCTGTACAAAATCAATAAAATATATTTAAAAAAACAAACAAACATGAAATAGCTGGATCACCTGCTGAAGTGTACCTTTGTTGTTGTTTTTTATATATTTTTTTTTATTGATTAGAGAGAGATAGGGGAAGTGAGAGAAACATCAATTTGTTGTACCGCTTATTTATGCATTCATTGGTTGCTTCTTGTATGTGACCTGACGAGATCAAATTTGGAACCTTGGCTTATTGGGACTACACTCTAACCAGCTGAGCTACCTGGCCAGGACTGACATGTACCTTTGATTACTGCTGTCTTTGATAACCCCATTGTCAGTTGGTTCGCCCACTTGTATTTACTTCCACTTGATCTTTTAATATTCACTAATACCAACTTGAAAAATTTTGAGACTAATGAGTGGTAATTGTTTGCTAGCATTCAGTAGTGTTTCTTTATCCTCTTACTCCTTTGTCCCAGCAGGTATTACTCTCTTCAGAAGACACAACTGCAGTTAGCAATTTCTTCAGATGCCGACACTTGGTGAACAGCTGGTCTTGATCACAAGATTTACAAGACAGTCTCCATCCTCCCAGATTGGATCTCTTTTCATATGGATCTTCTATTTCTATGTCTTTTTTAAAAATAACTTTTTTGGGAACATTTTGGATTACAACGTTTCATCCTCATCTATGCAAAGAAAGGAAAGCTGTTGTGCTGGGATTTTGAGGAGGTATGTGTGTTTTTTAATTTTATTATAAAATTGCATCACTTAGGCAGTCAGAGCACTATAAAATAATGATACCTTAACTTGCCTGTTTAGAATTCAGTTCTCAATCACTGGTTTCATCTACCCTTCTATTCTTCCTTTTTCTAGCAATTGTCATAGCTTAATAAGAACTTTTTTGGTGTGCATTATAACAACTAATTCCTTAAATTCTTCCTAAATGTCCTTGGACTCTGTGTTAGACTTATACTAATAAGTGACAGGAAACAATTTGAATTCTTATTCCTCAAGTTGAGATTGTGACTTTTTTGAACTGAGTTTGTTTCCATTCTGCATAGAAACTGAGTGGTTTGGGAAAACTTAGTATCTTCAGCATAATATATGGCTATGTGATTTTATAGTCTGTTTCAATATCATTTGAAAGAGGAAGTATGATAGTGTAGAAATCAAGAGACTTCATTTCACTTTTGACATTACTATATCATACTTTGAGGGTTAAAGTATGTTTTCTGACCTCTAGGCTTTTTGTTATTTGCTTTACACAGACCTCAAGGGATTGTTGAGAATCAGATGAGAACATTTGTGTGGAAGACTATTTTGTTGATATATACTGAATGGCCAAATTATTATGATCTCTGGTATAATAATCTGGCCACTCCGAGTGTGTGTGTGTATGTGTGTATTAGAGGCCTGCTGCATGAATTTGTGCATGGGAAGGGTCTGACCAGCCTGGTTAGGGGGAGGGGACATGGGTGGTTGGCCGGCCTGCCTGTTGGTCAAACTCCTGGTTGAGGGGACCATTTGTGTATTAGCCTTTTATTATATAGGTTATACATTGAGTGGCCAGATTATTGTGCATTCAGAGATCATAATAATCTGGCCACTCAGAGACATACTATATTTGGAACAATATAAAAGATCAACAAAACCAAGAGTTTGTTCTTTGAAAGGATAAACAAGATTGATGAACCTCTAGCCAGGCTTACCAAGAAGCAAAGAGAGAGGACCCAAATAAAATCAGAAATGGAAGAGGAGAAATAACAATAGACCCCACAGAAATACAAAGGATTGTTTAAAAATATTATGAGCAACTCTATTCCAACAAACTGGACAACCTGGAGGAAATGAACTTATTCCTAGAAAAGTACAACCTTCCAAAACTCAATCAGGAAGAATCTAAAAATCTCAATAGGCCAATAACTATGGAAGAAATTGAAGCAATCATTTAAAAGCTTCCAGCAAACAAAGGTGGGGCCAGAGGGCTTCACTGGGGAGTTTTACCAAACATTCAAGGAAGAACTAAAACCTATCCTCCTCAGACTATTCCAAAAAATTCAAGAGGAAGGAACACTTCCACGCTTCTTCTATGAAGGCAGCATCACCCTAATACCAAAATCAGATAAACACAACACAATGAAAGAGAATTACAGGCCATTATCCCTCATGAACATAGATGCCAAAATCCTCAACAAAACTCTGGCAAATCAGATCCAATAGTATATCAGAAAGATCATACACCATGACCAAGTAGGATTTATCTCAGGGATGGTACAATGTCCGCAAATCAATAAACATGATACATCACATAAACAAATTGAGAGAGAGAAACCACATAGTCATATCAGTAGATGTAGAAAAAACATTTGGCAAAATCCAAAACCCATTTTTGATAAAAACTCTCAGCAAGGTGGGAATAGAAGGATCATACCTCAACATAATAAAAGCCATATATGACAAACCCACAGCCAACATCTTACTCAATGGGCAAAAACTAAAACCATTTTCCCTAACAACAGGAATTTTGTATTAATCTGTTAGGGGTTGGGTTATGTTTGAAGCTTATTATTGCTATCATTATCAGAGTTGACATATATAGTTTCCATCAGAACCAGAGGCTTCAAATTTCCCTAATGTCTTTTATCTCACTTGGCTTTGAGTTTTCTCTTTGTGCTGTTTCTCAGAGTGTATCTGTCTCTTGCAGCTGTGTTCCACTGTTATTTTTGCTCAAAACTTGTTGACATGGTAATGGAGAGTGAGGGAGTTCTGTAATGATCTATTAGCCTCATATTTACGCAGGTATTAGAACCTGGGTTTTTAAATATATATATATTTATTGATTTCAGAAAGGAAGGAAGAGGGAAGAGAGAGAGAGAAACATTAACAACGAGAGAGAATCATTGATTGGCTGCCTCCTGCATGCCCCTGCAACCTGGGCAATGTGCCCTTGACAAACAGAATCTGGGTCTCGGAAGTGTAGCTTTCACAAGACTTTCCACTTTACTTTCAGGGGTGGAGTGTCTACCTTTTCTTTTTCCCCAAATGGTGTCTAGGATAGATTTTTAAAGCCATTTCTTTTTTAGCTAAGATTTTTAAAGCCCTTTTAAAAGCCCTTTCCCCCCTCTGCATTGAGGTTATTTTTTCTTTAGAGAGAGAGTGGAGATTGGGTATGTCAATCTCCTTTCCTTTCCTCTAGCTATAGTAAGATTCTTACCTGTGTTCTCGGGATACATAGGCCTTGAATAATTTTTCCTTGCAGATTAAGCCTTTTATTCTGTAGGGAAATAGGGGAAATAGATCTGGGTTTATTGGCAGTGCCTACTATTCTACTCTTCAAGTTCCTGAGGGCAGGAATGAGGAGCTTTCTTTGATTTTTCCCACATCCTATCCCGTCCCCCATTAGTAAGCCTTTTGAAATTCTGGCCTGTAATAGGGTGGGAATTCTCTTATGATTATATCCCTCAGGAACTTTACACTCTCATGTTAACTCATATTCAGTCTTTAGCAATTTGTCAACATTTGTGGTTTAATCTTTCTAACTGCAGTGGGATTCATCCTTGCTCTTGTGACTGTTTCCTTTAGTTAGAGAGAAGGCTTTTTCCTCATTTAGGGTTTTAGTTGCTTTGTCCATCCAAGCCCGATTGCCTAGAGGTTGGGTTAGTAGAAAATGGGGGGAGGGGAGAGTAATTTCATCCACTCTCTTAACCTTAGGAATACACTTTGTGGTTATAGAATAACTTGTGAGATTTGCCTTAGTACTCAGCATATAATAAGTTTTTATAAATGGTCATTTGTGCTTATTTGTTCTGCAATTATTGGGTGCTTTGTCATATGTCATATGAATGTCTATTTAGGTGCAGTTTGTTAATCATGCTATTCAGATTTATATTTTTTTCTATTTACCCCCTTTTTTGGGTCATTACCAACTACTGATAGTAATTTCCTTATTATGCTTATGGATATTTTTCACTTGTAATTTTGCTAAGTTTTAGAGGCTATATTACTATATGAATACAGATTTTTACATTGTTATATCTTTCTATAAATTATAATTCTGTTAATGTTTTGTGTATTAAGCCAGAGCAATTTTCTTTGTGTTTGTATGATTTTTTCCATACTTTTTATTTTTAGATATAATTCTTGAATTTTGTTTATTTATTTATTTTTGGTTATAATTTTTAAATTATAGTTTGCATTTACTGTTTTGTATTAGTTTCAGGAGTACAGCATAGTGCTTAGACAATCATATACTTTACAAAGTTCCTCCTGTTATTTGTAGTACCCACCTTTTAAACAATTTAGTTTAATAATTTTTATCTTTTGATCTAGTTACATTCAGTATAATTACTGGAATGTTTGGGTTTACATTTGACATCCTACATTTTGCTATTTATATGTTCCACTTTTTTTGTGATTGTGCTCCCTCTTTTTGCATTTACTTGGGTATTTTAATTCTGTTTTTTCTTTTTTCAAATTGATTTTAGAGTGGGAGGGAGAGGAAGAGAGAGACATCAGTGGTGATAGAGAATCACTGAGTGGCTGCCTCCTGCATACCCCCTACTGGGGATTGCTGCAACCCGGGTATGTGCCCTGACCAGGAGTCAACTGATGACCTCCTGGTTCATAGGACAATGCTCAACCACTGAGCCACATGACCAGACCTATTTTTCCTTTCTATTAGTATAGAAGTTATATACTCTTTTCCTCTTTCTTAAATGTTTATCCTAGAAATTGAAACATGTATTTTCTTTCTTTTTTGAAGTGTGAGAGTTTTTTTTAATACATGATGTAGTCGTGAGGTACAAATTCAAAATATACACAGGTTATATTATAGAAAGACCTATCACATCTGCCCACTAGCTGCCCAGTTCTTTCTAGATGACTCAGATGTGTATCCACCTTATAGTCATCTTGCATCCTTACTGGCCCCCAAACATACTGTATTTACTTTTTTTTTTTTTTTTTTAATATATATTTTATTGATTTTTTACAGAGAGGAAGGGAGCGAGATAGAGAGCTAGAAACATCGATGAGAGAGAAACATCGACCAGCTGCCTCTTGCACACCCACTACTGGGGATGTGCCCGCAACCAAGGTACATGCCTTTGACCAGAATCGAACCCGGGACCTTTCAGTCCACAGACCGACGCTCTACCACTGAGCCAAACTGGTTTCGGCAATAAAATATTTTTTTAAATGTTATGAAGAATTACCCTATTTCTATTAATGATAGAGAAATGTTAACATACTAAGTTTTATATATACTAAGTTTTTTACTTTGTGTATGTAATAGATAATAAGTAATAGATAATATATACTAATGTTAACATACTAAGTTATATATACTAAGTTTTTTTCTTTGTGTATGTAATAGATAGTAAGTTCTCCCCTCTAAGTTTCCCACTTAATTCTTAATGTTTGCTTTTCAGCTTTTCCTAAAAGGATTCCTGTATACTTTGGAAGTGCTTGAGGAAGAGTGATATAGGGAAGTAAGTATCCAACTCTTTATAGTCAATGAAATAACTGGTTCACTGCCAAACCAAAAAGCTTTGGATACCATACCTATTAAAAAAAAAAATATATATATATATATATATATACACACACACACACACACACACACACACACAAATATATATGAAAAACTTAAAGGCAGAAAAGAAAAAGGATTTTTGTATATAAATTGGAATTTTTTTAAAGCACCCTCATAAACATTTGACAGATTTTAAAAACACAAATTTTAACTTCTTTTTTTAAAATTTATTGATTAAGGTATTACATATGTGTCCTTATCCCCCATTAACTTACTTCTGATACTAATTCAGAACAACTTGTTTCTTGAATGTGAACTAATGGTGTATTGTATTTTGGCAAAATGGTTCTATAAGAATTTTTAAAAATTCTGAGACTTTAACAAGTTACCTTAAATGTCTGGTATGTAGGTGGCTTTTTCTCCTCTTTTTCCCTTTTCACTCCTTCACCCTATCCCCTTTCTGCCATATCCTTCTGTTCCTTTTTCTTTTCCTACTTCCTCTGGTTTACTTATAAGAACTCTACTTTTCAGAGAAGCTGAATGAATAAAAGAGAAGCCAACATTTCCCTTCTTACAAAAGCACACTTACTTTGTAGTTGAACTTGTGTTAAACTAGGGGTCTCAATATAGTTATTCAGGGAATTTTATAAACTGAGCAACAGTTATTATTTATTTGAATTTTACAGAATAGAGGATTCCTAAAAAACTTTGCCATTGTTGAATTTCTTTAGTGTTTGCAATCTTCCTCCCTCTTTTCCCCTTCCTCCACTTAAAACGATATGAATGGCCTTTAATGGTTGCAACGGGAAATGGAAAAGGAAGGGGATATGGCAGCTCTGGCTCCTGTGGCGGCTTCACATTCTGTGGCTACCCTCCCTTTATTTTTTTTGTATATATTTTTTTTGATTTCAGAGATAGTAAGGGAGAGGGAGAGAGAGAAACATCAATGTTGAGAGCATCATTGATCAGCTGCCTCCTGCACATCCACTACTAAGGATCAAGCCCACAACTGCGGCATGTGCCCTGATTGGGAATCGAACTGTGACCTCCTGGTTCATAGGTTGATACTCAACCACTGAGCTACACTGGTCAGGCTTGTGCTTGCATTCTTACTGTCAGCAATTTTACAGAGTTAAATATTGCAACTTTACTGCCTTTGGTAGTTTTGGCACAGCATTTGACTTTCCTTAATTTTTGTCTTATATTGAAAGGTGGTGGCCTTAATATTTTCTGTTGGCCTACAGAAAATTTTAACAAGGGTCAAAATTTTGACCATATTTCTTGTTTGTTGATATCACAGCAATAATGCTGATGATAGCTACAAGTGTAAGTACCAGATTACATTTTACCAGGTGTATTGGTTAATAATGCGGATTTTGTAATAAAAGAAAACACGATAATTTCCAGAGAAACATCAAAAGTGCTTTATTCTAAGTTATGTCCATCGCTAGCTATATATTCCCTTCTCTTCCCTCCTACCCCCCAAATTTCAGGTAACTTGTGGTTTACCTCAACTTTATGTTTTGAGGTAAACCATTCAGAGACGGAATTTTCCACTTCTTTGTATGTTTTGAAGTGCTATTCAGAAAGTGTGTGTGCACAAGTGGTAATCTAAAGGAGCAAGGTCTGGTGAATACGGTGGGTGGGTTAATACTTCCCAGACAAGATCTTTTAATGTGTTTTTAACTGGTTTTGAAGTGTGTGATGATGTGTTATCATGAAGCAAAATTACTTTGCTGTGTCTTCTGGCACATTCTGGTCCTTTCACGATCAAAGCGTTCAAATTGATTATTTGTTGTTGGTAGCGATCAGTATTAACCGTTTTACCTGGTTTTAGAAGCTCATAATACACCACACTTTCCTGATCCCACCATATGTAGAGCATTGTCTTCTTTCCAAAACAATTTGGCCTTGCAGTTGATGTTGATGGTTGACCTGGATCAACCATGTTTTTGTGCATTTGGGATTCTCAAAATAAATCCACTTTCATCGCCAATTACAGTTTGATGGAAAAAAGACTTTCTTTCGTGCCGTTGAAAGACAGTAAATGTTGATGACTTCGGTTTTCCATTTTTCTTTTGTTCAGTTGATATAGCACCCATTTTCCTTTAAAATCTTTCCCATTGCTTGTAAACTATCGGAAATTGTTTGCTGAGCAAGGTTTAATCTTTCTGCAAGTTCTTTTTGAGTTTGCTATGCATCTTCATCCAGTAATGCTTGTAATTGTTGGTCTTCAAACTTTTCAGTTGACCTGGACGTTCTTTGTCTTTCATATCAAAATCATCACTTTTAAAGCTTAACCCAGCGTTCACAAGTATCTTAAGATGAAGCATGTTTACCATAAGCTTCCCGAAGTATACGATAACTTTCAGCAGCACTTTTCTTCAAAATAAAGTAATGAATTAAAACTTCCCAAAAATGCTCTTTTTTGGGGGCACGAAATTTGACATTTTTAAGCATAAAATATTTATGCTGTTAACTTCAGAATATTTGACATATAAAATTTTGAAGCTTGCTGTCAATACAACAAAATAGCATACATAGCAAATCGCATGTATATCAACATATGTGTAATTCCCATCTGTTGAAAAAAATCCGCATTATTAACCAATACACCGTATCAATGTAATAGGTTGTTTTTCAAACTTCTTTTCTTACCACTTGATGATTACAGCTCAACTTAGAGTGCCATGTTAGGTAAGCCTCTGCTGGTTAGTATGATTATGTCTTGCCTTTAGAAATCTTAGAATTTATTCCTATACTATTACATAATCATTGTATTTGTGTTGATAACCTATGCAAACTTTGGCTTCGAGATTGACATCCTATTTGTAGATTTTCTTAGGAATGCTGACATTCCTCATAATTAATCAATCATCACTTTAAATTATATGAAAATAAATGATGTCCAAATGCTAGTGAAATTTCAAATGAATTTACTGACATATAAAATGTACCATATTTTTCATTAAAAATAAGAGAAGCAGATGATCACTTGATTAGTTTATAACACTGCCGAAAGAAATAGGTTGTTGAGTAATAAATTCCTATAATTCCTTATACATTTATATATGAAACTAATGTTGACATAGGGCCTTTATTCATGGTACCTATTACTACTCATGGAAGAAATTTATCTTATATATTTTACTTTCTAATCCAACAAGAAAATCATTTGTATTATTTAGGTAATAAAATACAAAGAAGGAAGAAAGTAAATTACTTCTTCATTATCAATCTGCTGTTTTCACATCCTCCTATCTTCTCAGGGTCTAACTAGTCCAGTGCAAGAATAGAGATTAGTTGATATACAGTGTTACTGGATTATTTTGGTAAATTTTCTCTGAGAAGCTCAAAGCTTTGCAGAGTGGAAATAATTCAATAACTATAATTCAATAACTAGCCTACCCTACAAAGGTGAGAATAATTAAATATAATATGCTATGGCAACATTTTTGCCCTTAAAGAGCCCCAGAAAACTCCAGTAGAGACCAAGATAGCCATAAATCTAATAAGGATTAAGGGTTTTTCTTTCTTGGCTTTCCTACAGAAAAAAAGAAAAAGAAAAAACCCAGAAGCAATTTACAGTCAGGAAAAAAGTATGGCAGGATTTTAGTGTAGCCACAAAAAATTTGAGTATAGGGCTCTAAAATTTCCCATTCTCATAGCTGCTTTTTGTCTAGTTTGGGAGCAAAGTATTTTGTGGTATTTAGAAAAAGAGAGACAGTATCTTTTACCTTATCACATTTTGTTTCTGAGTCACGAAGAGGTCAGGAAATGGAGAAATAGGCATGAAAGAATATGGACAGCAGAGCAACAATGACAGCGCCCATATACATAGTAAGAAGGTTATCTGAGAGTAACTACCAGGAAGAAAACTAGAGGGTTTACATTCCTGTCCCCTGAACTCTAGAAGCCTTGAGTTCATGGTACACTCTTTTTTTTTTTTTTAATATATTTTATTGATTTTTTTTTTATAGAGAGGAAGACAGAGAGATAGAGAGTCAGAAACATTGATGAGAGAGAATCATCAATCAGCTGCCTCTTGCACCCCCTACTGGGGATGTGCCCGCAACCAAGGTACATGCCCTTGACCGGAATTGAAACCGGGACCTTTCAGTCCACAGGCCGACGCTCTATCCACTGAGCCAAACCAGTATCAGCCATGGTACACCCTTTCTGCATCCAGCTAATTTATGCCTTCTAGATTACTACTTGGTGGCAAGGAATCCTCATTTCTCTAGAACAGTGTTTCCCAAAGTGTGGTACTCGTACCCCAAGGGGTACGGGAAGAGTTTGGTGGGGGTACGGGTTGCACCGGAGTTTGGTGGGGATATGCACTGCACTGTGCTTAGCTGCGCCTAATTCTACATTCTCATGAGTACGAGGGTTACCCAGCATTACGAAAATTATAGAAGGGTACACATATGTCAAAAGTTTGGGAAACACTGCTCTAGAACATGACCACCATAGTGCTTCATTGATAGTGACTTAGACTGTTCAAAGTACTTGGTGTAGTGTAGGGAGTTTTTTTTAATAAAAAAATTGAGGGAAAATATGGACATAAAGAACTTTTTCCTACACCATATTTTGTCCTCTCTGGCAGGTTCCGTGCCTTAATGCAATTTTGTTTTATATATTTGCAGAAACTCAGCATAAAAATAAACATTTTCTACGATGAAAAATCTCATGCCTACCATCTCCCCTCCCCTTTTTATGCATCTGATTTCCGTTACCATGGCTGTTGTGCTGACCTTGCATTTCTTAGTTTCAGCTTCCTTTTTCTCTCCCTGCATTTAATATTGGTGTGTGGTTATTGCTATTTGATCTTTTCTTTTTCTCTACTCTTTCATTATTCCCCAGTTAATCTGTGACTTCTTTGCTTTTGAATTTTTGTGGATATATAGGAACCTTCTGTCAGGGATGATCCTATTCAGAGAAAGGGAGTTCCTAGAATATTTTTTCTTGATAGCTGGTACTGAGCAAAACTCTAGTCTCTCTGAAAACAGATCCTATCTGGATCATTCACTCAAGTGGTGCCCCAGGGTCATTAGTGCTTCAACAGATAGTTCATCTTATAAGATATATATATTTTTTATTTTCTTCTTAAAAAAGCAAACTTTTCAGCTAGTGACTTTGATGAATATGAATGGTAACTAGAAATTCCTCTTTTCCATTAAAATATACACAGTTAGATTTTGATATCTACTTATTATTACGGTTTGAATTTATTGGGTTTTAGCAGATGAATTAACTGTGATTATGAATGAGAGGGATTAAATCACCTCAGCAATATTATACATATTGAATATTATGTTCTCTCTTGATTTCCCAAGCAATGGCTGTTTATCAACTATTATTATTATTATTTTTTTAAATACATTTTTATTGATTTTAGAGAGGAAGAAAGAGGGAGAAAGAGAAACATCCATGATGAAAGAGCATCATGGATTGGCTGCCTCCTGCAAGTCCCCCACTGGGAATCAAGCCCACAACTCAGGCCTGTGCTCTTGACCAGAATTGAACCTGGGACCTTTCAGTTTGCATGCTGATGCTCTACCCACTGAGCCAAACCGGCTAAGGCTATCAACTATTATTGTGGTTTCCATTCCAAGATGATTGCTCTAGTATTCAGTTTTTCATAAAATTTGAGGGATTTAAAAAAAACAACAACACGCATTGCTGTTTTCATTTCCTATGTACTTATTTCTGAGCTTTTCCTCTTATTCTAAAAAATAATCATTACCCACTATCTAAAAAACTGTCTTTTAATCTACTGATTAAAGATTGCTTAATGATAGTGTTCATTTGTTGGCTAGTGGCATGTTTTTCTTTAACACGAGTTTCTGCATGGATTTATAATATGAAGTTCTTCTTCTTCTTCTTCTTCTTTTTTAAGCATTAGATAGGCATGAAGCCTCCATCTCACAGCTGCATGTGTAGTTACTGTTGAAGCAAATGCCTACCTAATTTGACAGTCTTGGTGTGTTTAAAATTTTTGAGTTTGCAAATAAGCATATTAAGTCTACTTACTGATGGAGCCTTCGGGCAGTGAACAGTTATATGAGGACCCTGATCCTGGAGGCAAATCCCAAGATGCAGAGGCCAGAAAGCAGACAGAATCAGAACAAAAGTTGTCTAAAATGACTCACAATGCTTTGGAGAACATTAATGTGATTGGCCAAGGCTTGAAGCATCTCTTCCAGCACCAGCGCAGGAGGTCATCTGTGTCTCCACATGATGTGCAACAAATTCAGGCAGATCCAGAACCTGAAATGGATCTGGAAAGCCAGAACACATGTGCAGAGATTGATGGTGTCCCCACCCACCCCACAGCTCTGAACCGTGTCCTGCAACAGATCCGAGTGCCACCCAAGATGAAGAGAGGGACGAGCTTGCATAGTAGGCGGGGCAAGCCAGAGGCCCCAAAGGGAAGTCCCCAAATCAACAGGAAATCTGGCCAGGAGATGGCAACTGTTATGCAGTCTGGCCGACCCAGGTCTTCATCCACTACTGATGCTCCTACCAGCTCTGCTGTTATGGAAATAGCTTGTGCTGCTGCTGCTGCTGCATGTCTTCCAGGGGATGAGGCAGCTGTAGAGCGGGTAAGTCTGTTAGCGTTTCTTTTTCTGTTATGTTCTGTGTATCTAGGATTCTTTAAACTTTTCTTTGGTAACTAAAAAGAGATAGCAAGAGATATCTCAAAGTTGTGGTAAAAGATAGTTCCTGTTTCTGTTAAAGGGAATGATAATAATTATTGCAGCTAATGAATGCATGCTTATAATTATATTCCTATTTGCTTCCTAACATATAGCTATATTTTGTTTATTTTACTCCTTTTGCTAAAATCATCAGTATACTTTTGTGCTCTTCTTAAAAGTCTCAGTTTTATGGTAGAGGAATAAAGATGCTTTTTTGTTGCTTTGGTTTTGCACATGAATTGGCTTTCTTACATTAATGAAGGTAATGAAAAAAGTTCTAGAATCTGGGTGTGTCTGCTTAGTGTGGAAATAGAAATTGCTAATAATTTTCATACATACTGTGCCATGCAATATACATTTTGCTTTCTGCAGTAGAGCATATGCATTCTTTACTTTTTAGATAGTGGATTTTACACTTTATTTTTAAAAATATGTTTCGATTGATTTTAGAGAGAGAAGAGGGAAGAATGAGAGAGAGAGGGAGAGCGAGAAAGAGAGAAAAAGAGACAGAGAGAGAGAAAGAAACATCGATGATGAGAGAGAAACATCAATCACTTCCTGCAAGGCCCCCTATCAGGCATCAAGCCCATAGCAGGGGACAAGAAAAGGGGAAAAGAAAGTTTTTCCTTTTTTCAAATATTGGTAACTAGATCAACTTGTTTGAATGAAGGCAGAAATCTGAGAAGTGACAAAGGCTGATTTCAACACTACCCCTGTTTGGTTTCTTTTATTCTTGTTGTTTCTTATGTTATTACTTCTAAATAACATGTATTTTTTCCAATGAGTAGTAGTGTAAATAAAATACTGGAATGATTCCCTAAAGTTATTTAAAACTGTTCATCCTTATAATATAAGCAATGACATTCTGGATTCTCAGATATCTAAACAAAATAATAAGAACAAAAAAGTAATTATTTACAATATATAAGATAAGGTCTCTTCTGTTTAAAAAGTTAGCCAGTTAAATAAATAATCTCCATGGAGCTATTTCTGCATAGCAAGGTTGAGGGTGGGGTGGAAAAGAGCTCAATTTTTTTTTTTTTTTTTTTTTTTTTTTTATATATTTTATTGATTTTTTACAGAGAGGAAGGGAGAGAGATAGAGAGCTAGAAACGTCGATGAGAGAGAAACATCGACCAGCTGCCTTCTGCACACCCCCTACCGGGGATGTGCCCGCAACCAATGTACATGCCCTTGACTGGAATCGAACCTGGGACCCTTCAGTCCACAGACCGACGCTCTACCACTGAGCCAAACCAGCTTCGGCCCAAATTAAAGTCTCACATTAACCATAATATAATGTTGCATAATTATAGTTAAGAAAGGAGAATGAAGGTGAGAACTATTCCTGTATCATCTTTCTTATTGCCATAAAACACCAAGAAGCTTGCCTTGAGAATACTGATTTTAATGACTCATTTGATAATTGAGAATCTTTTCCATATATTTGCTAATAATTTTGCAAGAATGTTTTGTGGAAGTGAATTTGTTTTAATGTCATTAATATGGGATCATACTCAAGCTTGTTGAATATGCTTAATAATGTATGCAAGACTTCTATGTATAAAATATAATTTAAGTTGCATGCCAGTTTTTTGAGGTAGGTCTGGTCTCCATTTTTACAAACAAGGCAATTAGAGCTTAGGAAATTTTAAAATTTACTTAGACCAGAGAGCTCGTCCATGGCTGAGTCTAAGTTCTTTGCTCATTCTACCATAGCACAGCTGCCTCAATATTGTAAGTTTTTATTATGTATTTAGTGGGAAAAGTGTAATATAAAGATAGAGAGTGTAGGAGATCTTAGAAGGATCTAGACTGCCAAAAATTTAGTAACCTACCAACTAGTTGGAAGATACATCTAAGGAAGCAAATTTTCCTAAAACATCTAAGAAAAATTAAACAATTTGTTTTAACAATTAAAACAAGATTTGAAGCCCCAAAACTGGCTCTTGTAGTAGAAATGAGTAAGGTAGAAATTTGGATAAAAACCCCCACCCTGATCTGGGACACTCTTCAGGGCAAACCAGCTGGCCCCCACCCATGCATCAGGCCTCTATCCTATCTAATAAAAGAATAATATGCAGATTGACCATCACTCCAACACACAAGATGGCTGCCCCATGTGGAAAAAGATCTTGCCTCTATGTGGACACAAGATGACCACCACAAGATGGCCAGCAGGGGAGGGCAGTTGGGAGAGACCAGACCTGCCAGGGAGGGCAGTTGTGGGTGATCAGGCAAGCAAGGGAGGACAGTTGGGAGGCACCAGGCCTGCAAGGGAGGGCAGTTGGAGTCAATCAACCCTGCAGGGTAGGGCAGTTAGGGATGACCAGGCCAGCAGAGGAGGGAAGTTGGGGGCAAACAGGCTGGCAGGAGAGCAGTTAGACATCAATCAGGCTGGCATAGGAGTGGTTAGGGGGTGATCAGGCTGGCAGGCAGAAGGGGTTAGGGCAATCAGAAAGGCAGGCAGGCGAGCAGTTGTGAGCCAGCAGTCCTGATTGTGAGAGGGATGTCCGACTGCCTGTTGAGGCCCGATCCCATTGGGATCGGCAGTCAGACATCCCTCAAGGGGTCTTAGATTGGAGAGATGCAGGCTGGACTGAGGGCTACTACCACTACCCTCTCTCCCTGTGCACGAATTTCGTGCACCAGGCCTCTAGTAAAAAATAAAGAAGAATCCCAGATGAAAATTTATCAAAACAGTAGTAGTGGCCGAAACCAGTTTGGCTCAGTGGATAGAGCATCGGCCTGCAGACTGAAAGGTCCCGGGTTCGATTCAGGTCAAGGGCATGTACCTTGGTTGCCGGCACATCCCCAGTGGGGTATGTGCAGGAGGTGGCTAATCGATATTTCTGACTTTCTATTCCTCTCCCTTTCTCTCTGTAAAAAATCAATAAAATATATTTAAAAATAAAAACAACATTAGTAGTGGTTACTTCTGTATGGTGATATATTAACGGATTTTCTTATTCTTTATAATTTACTGTATTCTCTGTATTATAGGAAACATTTTATTAGAACATATCAAATTGCAAGGAATGATTATAAATGGGGAATAAATAGTTCAAGTTTATTTTTACAAAATGGAATAGAAAAACAAGTAGAATTTAATTAGATGGAAAGATCAGGGAATTTGTGAGTATGGGTGAGATTGAAGGAAGAGAGAAGATAATCCAGAATGTCTTAGAAACTTTTAAGTTTTATAGAGCTGCCCTAACCGGTTTGGCTCAGTGGATAGAGCGTCGACCTGCGGACAAAAGGGTCCCAGGTTCAATTCCAGTCAAGGGCATGTACCTTGGTAGCAGGCACATCCCCAAAAAGGGGCTGTGCAGGAGGCAGCTGATCAATGTTTCTCTCTCATCGATGTTTCTAACTATCCCTTTCCCTTCCTTTCTGTAAAAAATCAATAAAATATATTTAAAAAAAATAATGTTTTATAGAGCCATCAAGCACTATCTTAGTTTTTTAAGTCATTCATTCGTAACTATTTAAGAGCCCAGTAGTTGTCAGCATACCACTGAACGTTTTAGGTTCCTGAAGAGGGGGATGCAGACAGGGAAAATACAATACAGTGTAGTAAGGAAGAAGCAGTTGGAGAAAGGACTTGGTGAGTGTTTTTAGAGGCTTTCTTGAAGAAACAGAAGTCTAAGCTGAGATTTGGGGTAAAGTTGAAAGTAGTGCGATGTCTAGAGAGGGAAAGCGGAGGCTAGCACATGAAGCACCTTGTAAACTAGTTTAAGGACTTGATTTTATAATGTTTAAATATTTTGTTTAAATCATGCTAGTTGTTATTTTGTTGTTATTTAGTTGCTAGGCACTTAGTAGACACATAATAAACTTTCTCCCCATCTTTCTTCTCCCTTTTCTTCTCTCCTTTTCTCCTTTGTATGTATTCACTGCAGGTGATGCATGGCATAGTTTTGTTTTGTTTTGTTTTTTGAGGGAAATTAATGCAGGCCCCAAAACATTGCTGATACAAAAGGAGACAACTTTAATTTAGCATTTTTGAAAGAGCTATGTCCAATTTATCAAAATAAAAATGTTATTTGACATGGTTGGCTATTCTTTAAATCAGCCATCATGATGAGTTAGTTATGGAACTGAATATGATGTAGTATTCAAAAAATTTTTTAATTGTCAACAACTTTTAATGTCTTACCACTTATTAATTGTACTATGTACTTACATGGGTATTTATATTGACAGGGCCTTGGACTTTTGTAAATAACTACACAAGTTACTTCATCTTATGATAGATGAAATGTGAATCTTTAATGTTATCTGTTGTGGGATTCCCAAAAGAAATTCGTTTTTGCAAGACAGAAATCTTATATCATTTAAGGAGCCTGAATTGTCATAGGGAATCTTGAAACTGGCAGCACTGTTTACTAAACTTTCTGAAAATGGATTTCCTTCCTCTTTGTGTTAAAGGAAGACAATAATCAAAAGAATTAGACTAAGCTGGTTTGGCTTTTGGATAGAGTGTCAGCCTGCGAACTGAAGGGTCCTGGGTTTGATTCTAGTCAAGGGCACATGCCCTCGTTGCAGGCTTGATCCCCTGGAGGGGCCGGCAAATCAGAGATCCTCTCTCATCATTGATGTTTTTAATTCTCTTTTCCTCTCTCTTCCTCTCTGAAATCAATAAAAACATTTTTTTTAAATCAAAACTTCTATGAAGAGAGAACCTATCGTATTATTATTTATAAGTAGTGGGCTATTCACTCTTTGGTTAGTTTATAGAAAAATAGTTAACAGGTGCAATTTAGCAAAAGAAGAATAAATGAATTTTGTTATGTTCTACATTCCTATTCCACAAACAAAATAATATTCTGAACATTCTAACCTTATGACATGTCTAGTATGAAAAGACTAAATTTTACTTACCACTTGATTCATACCTCTCT